AAATAACACCAATGGTCTGATAACTTCCTTGTTCTCCTACTCTACAGCAGGATGCAGAAGGCTCATCTTGTCCATTTCTTGCCTCAGATCTGTAATCAGTCATTTCTCCAAGGAGTCCTGTTTTCTTTTAATAGTAAATGGCAGCGATGACAATCTGGGTCATAGGTGTAGTGTTCACAGGTTTTGATGCATGTGAATCACACTTTCAGTTTCTGTATCTTCTTTTTGTGGTTCTCATTTAACTCAGAGCAAAATCCTTTCAAGGACCCATGAGGTCCAACATGATCTGCATGCCCTGTTTCTTCTCTTTCCTTACCACATGTGCACCTGTCTTTGGGCTGCTTCCGTGGAAATGCCTTCTGCTCAGATACGTGCAGAGCTCAATCCCTCACTCTGTAAGTCTTTGCTAAATCTCACCTTCTCATTGAAGCCTATCCTGTCAACTTTATTTAAAAATCACAGGACTACTTACCTCCCCAACCCACCCTCAATGTCCTGTGTTCTATTTTTTTTATATCACTTCTCATTCTCTCACATACTTTATGATTTATCTATTTATTCTCCTCCTCCTAAAATGTAAGCTCCACAAGGGCAGGAATTTTGGTCATTTGATTCATGGCTGTGCTTAGGACATTACCTGCACATGGTAGCTATTCAGGACCTATTTGTTCAGTGAACAAATGAGTGAAACCTTAGGATATTTCTGAATCACCACACATGTAACCTGTCAGTGTGCCTTGATCTTCAACGGAACAGACTGAATTTAAAGCAAACAAGATTCATCAAGAAACTGAGCTATATCTAGACTTATGGAAACAAGTCCACGAATTTCAAAACTATCAATTGACATTTCTAGGCATGTGATCAGAACCTGAGCAATGTTTCTGCATTCATTTTTGAAAAAGAAATGTAATATAAACTGAGAGTCTCCATCGGTGATGAAAATAAAAATCAGAATTGAGATGTACCCCAAAGAATACACCTTACTATTGCCCCAGAGAAGTTTAGTCTGCTTAAGGCCCATGTTCCCAATAATGTAACTAAATTGACCAACTATTAGCAACACGCCCCAAACTGTACCTATGTATAAAATAGTTGATTAAAGTTATTTGATTTGTATGATCTTTCCCATACCCATAGATTAATGAATTCTGAGGAAATTTAAATTTTTGCTGGGAAAAAAATTGGGGCACCACACTAATAGGGGATTGAACACTGGATTGAGAGACGGGTAGAAGATGTTGGCTGTCAATTTGATCATTAACCAGCTGGATTACCTTGGGCAAGTCAAGAATTTGAATTTAGATTTGGAGAAGTCTTTGAAGTTGACTAGGGCCAGCCTCCTGCCTTCAACTCACTGGGACAGGAGACCATGATATGGTATGGTCTGTTACTGGAAAGTTCATTTTTAGGTTGAGCTGTGGTTTGCCTCTTTTTATTTATTTCATTGATCTCCTTTGTGTTTTCTAGAGAAACACTTCAGTTAACTACTCCACTCGGGAAGGTATTTAGTGGAGTAAGAACACCATCCTTTGACTTTGCCAGATTTTTAGTTCTAATTCCCTCACTTCCTATGTGACCTTCATTACGTTACTTTTCTAAGTTTCAGTTTCCTCATCTGTAAAATGGGCACAATCATAGTATTTACCACGTGGGGTTATTACTGATATTACTATCATCCCACATGATATACTTTCAAATATCTAAAAATGGTCATCACGCTTTCCGTTGATTTTCCTTTCTTCAGATTAAGTATTTCCAAGTCAGAGGGAGGGTATAGCTCAAGCAGTAGAGTGCATGCTTAGCATGCACAAACTCCTGGGTTCATTCCCCAGTACCTCCACTAAAAATAAATAAACAAACCTAAATATCTGCCCCCTGCCAAAAAAAAAATATATTTCCAAGTCATTTTAATATTGCCCAGAATGACATGGTTTCCAAACCCTTGTCTTTATGCTTTGTCACTGTTTTCTTGAATGTGGCACCCAAATTAAAAAATATATATTATATATGTGCAAAGTACAGATAATGATGAAATCATTCCTTCCAGTGATCTAGACCTTAAGCAGCCTGTATTTAAAGTCTCTCAGTTTGCTCACATCTAAAATGTATAATTACTAATAATGCCCACTTCTAGGGCTACTGTAGGAGCAACCAAGCTAATGTATGTCAAAGTACTGTGAAAAAAGAGCAAGACGTACAGGAATATCAGTCACTATTTTATACTGAGTATTTTTCATTAGTTTAAAAAATCGTAACAGGTATGACCTATCAGTTACCAAAAAGTTAAGGTTTTTTTGCAGTCTTAATGTTCACATTGAAAAGGGGAGAATTTTTTTTATGTCAACTTTATTCCTAATAGTCAAAAATTAGAATGAACCCAACAGGATGGTGGATAAACAAACTGTGGTAGGACAATACAGTGGAGTAAATCCCTGCGTTAAAAAGGGAAAATGACAAGCAACACCACAGCTAGATCTCAAACAATTACGTGGAACCAAAGAAGCCAGACGTGAAAGGGTACATACTGTATGGTTTCACCTGTGTGAAGTTCTAGAACAAGTTAAATCCCATTATGGTAAAAATATGTTAGAATAGTGGTTTCCTCTGCAGAGGGGCAGGGGAAGGTATAAGAGGAAAATTTCTGGGGTGATAGAAATTTCTGTAACTTCTGGTGTATCATCACTTGACAAATTTGTCAAAATAAAACTCTAAGGTTTGTGCAGTTCATGATATGCTTTTTCAATAAAAATTTTCTAGTTAAAAATTTTTAAGATGCCCCCACTTTTTTTTTAATTGTAGTTGAATTAGTGTTGTGTTAGTTTCTGGTGTACTGCATCCTGATTCAGTTATACATATATACATATTCTTAGAAAAAGAAAATTTTACACTGAAATATCTAGTAAGCTTAAATCATTTTTTATTACATGAAATAATTACAAAGGAACTAATTTCATTCATTAAAGTTTCTCCTGTGAAGCGTAAGACTTCAGAGAACATTCACTTTCTGATAGTTTAATTTCAATCTCTAATTTCTTTACCGAGTTTTTTTAATTGAAAAACTATCCATTTCTCAAATAATTGAACTTGATGTTGAAACAGGTACAAAGCTTTGTGAGTGGCTGCTGTGTTAGTATTCAATAAGAAAGTGCATTGTAGATCATTCCAATGTAATAAATAAAAACTTAAAGGGAAAATGTATAAAACCAGAGAGATATTGTGTGGACTTTTCTCACAGTTATTATTCATAATTGTTTAGGCATATAAACTCTACAGATTTTAGCAACGGCCATTTATCCTTTCCTTCTGCCTTAGTCTGTTAGAACTGCTGTAACGAAATACCAGACTGGGTGGCTTAAACAATAGGAAATAATTTTCTCACAGCTCTGGAGGCTGTAAAGTTGAAGATCAAGGTGCCCGCCAGGTAGGCATCATTCCAAGGCCTCCTGTCTGGGCATGTAGGCAGCAGCCATCACACTGTCCTCACGTGACCACTTTCTTGTGAGTGCACATGGAGAGGGGGAAAGAGTGAGTTCTCTGGTACTTCCTTTTAAAAGGACACTCATCCTACTGGACAAGGGCCCTACACTTATGACATCATTTTTAAGCTTAATTACTTCTTTTGAGGCTCCATCTTCAAATATAGCCACACTGGGGTTAGGGCTTCAACATGTGAATTTTGGGGAGGACACAAATATCAAGTCCGTCACAGCTTCCAACTTTTCTCATTTCTTTTATCTCTTGTGGAGGACCTAAATCATACCACCATCATCCACGTTAAATATACGTACTGAATTTCATTTTATTACACAAATTCTTTTTTAAACTTAAAAAAAGTTTTAATTGAAGTACAGTTGATTTACAATGCTGTTAGTTTCTGGTGTACAGCAAAGTGATTCAGATATATATATATATTACACACACATATATATACATTGTCGTATTATTTTCTATTGTGGTTTATTACAGGATATTGAGTATAGTTCCCAGTGCTATACAGTAGGACCTTGCTGTTTATCTGTTTTATATATAGTAGTATCTGCTAATCCCAAACTTCTAATTTATCCCTTCTCCACCCTTTCCCCCTTGGTAACCATGTTTTCTATGTCTGTCTGTCTGTTTCTGTCTTGTAAATAAGTTCATTTGTGTTATATCTTAGATTCCACATAAGTGATGTCACATGGTATGTCTTTCTGACTTACTTCCCCTAGTATGATAATCTCTAGGTTCATCCATGTTACTGCAAATGGTGCTATTTCATTCTTCTTTATGGTTGAGTAGTATTCCAGTGTGTGTGTGTGTGTGTGTGTGTACATATACATACATGTACACACACACACACATACCACATCTTCTTTATCCAGTCATCCTCGATAGACATTTAGGATGCTTCCATGTTAGACAAATTCTTAATGGGACATTGTATTAGGCACATAGTTTAAGAGATTAAAGGGCACAGTCTCTGCTTGCAAAAAACTCAAAGACCAGAGAGATAAACCACTAATCGGAAATACAACATGCTATGTATCATTTTGTAGTATAACTGGAGAGGATCTTATTTTACCTCATTTTCATTATCTTTCTATGGTACATCTAATCTTTGTCATTACCTAGGACAGTTTTCCAGCACTAATTTTTCCTCCTAATCAGCCTGGATCTCAAGGTCAATAATTTTAACACTTTGATCTATACCCTCAATAGGCCCATCACTGCTCTGCTCCTCCTGGCGAGTTTATCCCTAATTTTGAATTAATCCACTGATCTGCCTTCTGTTCCATGGTGGATGAGCCGCAAAGAATAGTGAAGAATCATGCTGATTATACACTCGGTAATTTTCAGCCTCATGAAGCATTTTAGCACTGCAAGGCAAACCTCTAACTTGTCTGTAGTCAACTCCACTTTTCTAAGTGCAGTGTTTGATGAAAACCCTTATCACACTTAGTACCTAAATTCCTCATCTTGCTCTCCTGCAGACCATTTTGCCTGGTACTTTACAAAATTGTCTTCCGATATTGACTCCTCCAATTTTCATGCTGACCAATGCTCTGCATTAAATACATGCAATCTCCAGCCCCATTACCCCAAGCAATTATTTGCTTAGTTCTCATCCTTGCTTTCCGGAACTCCCTTTTGTTTCAAATAGGGCAGTTCAACTTAACAGATTTTGCTTCAGTTTTTATTTGTTGGTACAAAATAATCTCTAGGATTTGAACTACAATGTTTTACTCTTGGAATGTCCCAGGGATCAACTCTTGGACCACATCTCTATTTCCACTCCCTTGGTGATCTCATCTAATCTTAATGGTTTTAAATATACCATCCACATGCTGATGACGCCTCACTTTATTTCTCCAGTTCAGATGTCTCCCCTGAACTCCAGACTTGTATATAACTCAAAAACTCATTTGGATATCACATGTCATCTCAAATCTAACACGCTCAAAATCAAGCCTCTGCAAAAAGGCACTTTTGGGAGAGATAGACTTAACCATTATTTTGATTACGATAATGGTTTTATAGGTGCATACTTATGGAAAGGCTAATCAAACTACACTTTAAAATGGACTGTTCACTGTTTAATTTTAGTTCAATAGACAAGGGTTCATCCAAGTTTCTTGACCTCAGTAATGCACTGTGTGTAAACATTTTCTTCAAGTTTGAGTATTCTGAAATGCTTTTTCCATTGTTGATAGTCTTGAAAATTAGAAGCAACTAGTAAGCCTAACTAGTAAGATAAAATTCCCAAGTACATTGGATTATACTGTACTGAATGTGGGACTCCGTGAGATTAAATCTGTTTTCTATTGTAAGTCAGATGCATGGCATGCCAGGACCTGAGATGGACTAGTGGTAAGGGGACAAGGCCAGGGCTTGGGAGAATGAGACCAAAGATCTGGTTCCCTTATTGGAAAGGTTCTATGGAACTGAATAGCTTGAGCTCCTTTGCTCAAAAATCTTAAGAGTAATTTAATATTTCAGCCTTATCTTCCAGCTTATTTGTACATCTATCCAATAGATACCTAAATTCTCAATTTACCACCCTTAGGTTAAATATACTATCTTTGGCCAGTGCTTCTTATGCCTAAGTGTACCACTAGTTCAATCTCACTAAGTATTCTGCAGTTTGCTTTTTTTCTTGGAACCTTGCTTAACTATTGATAAAGAGGACATATGGAGGGTATAACTCAAGTTGTAGAGTGCATGCTTAGCATTCAAGAGGCCCTGGGTTCAATCCCCAGTACCTCCATCAAAAACATAGAAGTATATGCACTTTTGTTTGGACTTACTCAACTAAGGAAATGTATTTTACAAGACAAGACATAAGGGACTGCAGAAAGAGGTCAAAGGGCTGTAAATGCTAATTTTATTTCATCATGTGCCTTGTTTTTAAGTGATCTTTGCCAACTTTGACAAAAGGGCAGTTTTCTCTGAAAGTTTTGTGTAGATCCCAATTGGTCTTTTAAATCATTATTCATTTTTACTGCACAACAAAATGCCAAGGAGATAAGGTGCCAGTGATTGAAACATTATCTTACTATACATGGAAATGGTTTATTCATTTCATAGCCTCAAGAACTGTAGGATTTGTAATAGTCACGATTCTTATACATCTCACTGGATCCTCCCTTGAATGTATTTTCTGTTTAAGGTCCCACAGCTCAGCTTTTGGTGGTATTAAGATAGTTATATGTGCAACCCACTGTGCTGAATGACCTTTTTTCCACTGCTAGATTTCATAAGGTCCCTTAATTTGCCTCAAAGTATCTGCTAAGGTTCATTTTCCTAGAATTATACTTGATTGTGATACTTGTGGAATTACTCACCTAGTTTAATAATGCAGAGATACTCAAAATGCTGAATGTTTTCTCTGTATGGTCACATGAACACTTTTTTAATATCGCTGCAAGAATCACTTTCAGAGGTTTATTTTGGAAAGTCTTAATACTTGGAGCAGATTCACTCTGTGCCTAGTCACAAGCTTATCAATCTTCTGAACTTCTCCTGAGCTGCATGGGACCCAAATCAAATTTTTCACTAAGGCAGGCAAATAAACATTTGAACAAAAAGTTCACTTTAAGATGACAAGAACATTTGTATTCTGATTTTGACATTTGAATAAGGCTTGGGAACAGTTATTCATGCAGCTATTAAGGGAAATGACAATGTGTGGGGCCCAACCACCTTGGTTATATTGGAGGCTATTACTGCTTATGCTAAATCCATTCTTTACCATGCCTGACCAGTTTCAACCCAGATTTTACCAATGACCTTCCTTCATGACCCTTAACTGTTACGCAGTGCTCTCTTCCTTAACTTTCAGTATTACTTTTCCCCACTTTTGCAAACACTGTTTCATGTTACTATTACACTAGGACGAAATACTCCATAATTTAGCTAGTAATCAGATTCATCATCTTGATGCATGACATTCTGACCCTCAGCCTGCCTCTCCACTTCGCTCACCTCCATTCAGTAATGCTTAGGACCTGGCACAAAGCCAAGGTTTTCCACCCTTCATTTTTGTGATTGCCAAACCAAGTCATCTCTCCATAGAAATTTTACCAAGGATCTTCCCACAATAGTTAGTATAAATCTTCACTTGGCTGTAATTATAATTATCCATGTTAAATTCAAACAGGTGACCAAAGGCCAAACATTCATTCAGAATTATTTAATTTCAAGGCTGGATAATCAAAAAACAAACTTCAGAGCTAGGAAATAATACACTGGTTAACAGGTTATGACTCTTGGGTAGTGAAATGATTAAAACAGAAATGGCTTGAATATTATGGATGCATTAATCTAGATATTGGTTCAGAAATCCATTCACAACATTAAGAAATATAATCCACCTTGGTATTTGTTTTCTTTCCATGTCCACAAAATGAAGAGCTTTTCCTGATCATCAGTTTTTCATATTACAGACAAGTAAATCTTGTCTAGCCCTAGAAAAGGAAAAACACTTGAGTTTTACAAGACTATCAACTATCAACGTCAAAAGAAGTTAAAAAAATCCTTAAGAATACCGTTGTCCTTAAAATGGTCTATCTCAGAAGCCAGATCCGTGTAAGTTTTTTCAACAGAAATTCAGGTTCGGGATAGGATCATCACAGATAAGACCAAGGACACAATAGTCACTGATTGTAAAGCAAAATATCTCTACTCACAAAAATGCTTACACCTTAGGAATTCCACAGCAAACTGGCCTCTTTCAATAGACAGACAGCGACCCCTCACTGTTGGCAGAAAAAAAAATACTGTGAGTTAACAGTTTACAGTCACAAAATCCAGGCAACAAAAATATATTATTTCATATCTACACATTGGTCTTATCTCAGAAGCCGAATCCGTACATGCTTTTCTTCAGGTAATCAGCTTCAGGATAGGTTTCATCACTGATCAGACCAAAATCCAGTAAGCTACATCACACTGACATTTACCATAAACAAACACAACATTAAAAGACAAGCACTATATTAGAAATGCTATAGATGTTGTAAACCACATTACCTTACTTTAAAATGAAGCTGGTCACCAGTGACATCTGTAGCTTCATCAGTATTCACAACCCCAGAACGCTGCTCAAGGACAAAAAAATTCCTCATTTAATCTACTTATGAACTAAATAAATACTAGACTCAAAAGCAGTGGTCCAACACATACCTGGTAAGACTGTCAAGTTCCGACCAAGTAATTTTCCAGCAAACATTTTCCCATTTCTGGAATTTTCCTCTGCATCTAAAAATAGCAAATTCCAAATGATGCACCACCATCTTTCCTGTAAATCAACAGGTTTACTTCCACAGTTAAAAAACCCAGTTCTCAACACGTACCTTAGCATCTCTACATAACAGCTCCATTACAGCGTGCCACTGTTCCTGCAGGGTAATAAATGTTTAAAATTAAGCATTCTCACAGAACGTCCAAGATTTAAGTACGAAAACCCTCCTCTTCACTAATTCGATTTGCACACAGCGCCACCTGGGCACAGTGCAATTTAGTCTCACGCAGCCAAGGCCTCCCGTTTTGAAATAACCGTTGATCTGGCGATGGAAGACAACATACCAGCAAAGGCCTCTGGCTCTTAAGACTAACTCCCCGCCCCAAATCCCAGGAATGTGGTTGTTTCCTGGCCGCCGCTCAGGCTCAGGCAGCCGGCTGCCGGGATTTGGCAGTCGGGCCGCATACAGCGCCCGGGGCCACTAGCGGCAGCCTCCCCACGCCTAAGCTCGAAGCCTACCGCCACCACGACTCGGTACACGTGGTGGCCCGGCGGCATGTTTCCCACGTGCACGGCTTCAACACAAAGCACTCCAAGCTTAAATCTCTGAAACCTTTTCACATTCCCGTAGGCCCCAGCCTAATCTACGCCATCCATCTTCGCTCGGATAACCGCCCACGCGGCCCACTTACCTACAAGCACTTAACAACTCTCAGGTCCCGACGTAAAAGACCGAACGGTTTCGCCAGCAGTTTCTTATATAGCCTCTCCTGAGTCAGAACGAGGTCGCCCCTCCCTCTCGCAGCTATTGGACTGGAGCGCACGGGGGCGTGGCCTGTTCCTGACGAGACGGAGCGAGAGCGCGCCAGGCGGCCTTTTCTTTCGGGAACTCTTTCCGGCGCGTGGTGCGCGCGCCGTTCCTCCGCGGCGCGCACGTTTAGTCCCGGGCGCGCGCCCGCTGGCGCGCCGCGACAAGTCGCTTCCGAGTCTGGCTCTACGTGGCGCGGGAGTGGCGCCAGAATTCAAACGAACAGCAGCCTTTGGAGGCTGTAGTCTACCGCCTTCCCCGAGCCAAGTCCGCCCAGGACGGATGGGGCGGCTCGGGGCCGGGAGTGGACTTGAGTTTTGCAGCGCAGGCTGTCTCAGCCTGTCATTCAGTCGAGAAGACAGGCTGGCTGGTTGGCTGGAGACCGGAGGGAGTCGATGCCCGGCGGCTGCCGCACTCCTGGAAAGAGAAATTGGCGGGCAGAAATGCTCGGACGAGAAAAGTATGTGAAAGTGCCGGTTTTCTCCTGTCCTCAGCGAGAACGCAGCGCCTTTCCGGAGAGCCAGCCGGCTGCACGGCACGCGGTCCAGCTGCACCCCACGGGGCCCGCCCCACCTCAGGCTGCCGGATGCCCGGCGCTGCTGTTACATCCTGTGATCAGCACAGAGAATTCTCCCCGAGACTGCAGACCAGAGAGGTAAATCCTCCATTTGGCAAGGAGAAAACTTAGGCCTGAAGTACCAATAATTTCCCTAAATTCACACAACCAAGAGCTTTGCTATTTTAACTTTTTTGGCACTAAATTCATTATCATGCAGGAAAAAGATTAATTTGGGAAATTTAACGGAATATATTATCCAAATGACATTTAAGTTAAGTAGCAACGATGGCATTAATTAGTATGTGTGGGTAAATATATGTACGTATGCGCATACCTGGGAACAGACGACATTTGAACATTTAAGCATTTGAAGATTCAGGTCTCCATAGCACTTACTACTAATTAATATGTACGTGTACGTTTTATTGTCCACCCCTTCTGCACCGCCCTTTATTTTTCTGCCTTAGAACAGTACCTGGCATAAAGTAGGTGGTCAGTAACTATTGGTTGAATAAATGAAGGAATATACGCGGTGGCTTTTTAGCAAGTTAAAATGAAGACCATACCCCAGATTAAAAACATAATAGTCAAAAGCAAATTTCTGTAACAGGAACCTAAGCGATGAAGTGTTTTCTTGGCTGGGCATTATGTAGATTTGCAAAATTTGTTTGTAATGTACAATTAAATTTGCATATTGCTCATATTTAAAAAACTAAGATAGTACAGAACGATATAAAAAGCAAAGTAAAAATCCATTTCGTGTCACTAGGAATCTTTTCTCCGCTATTAACAGAACCACTATTAACAGTTTTTGAAGCTTACTATGCATATATAAACATATGTACATATTTTTTCACATACAAATAGGATCTATGTCCTTTTCTGCAACTTGCGTTGCTTCATCGTAAATATTGTAGACACCTTTCCATAGCAGTACATATAGAGCGACTTTCTTGTTTATAAACTGCTAGCATTCAGTTGGATGTATCATAATTTTATAATTTTACAGCTTTTCACTATTTCAAATAGTGTCGAAGTGAATTATAGGTATATCATTGTGAGCTTGTGAGAAGATCTGCAAGATAAGTTTCTACAAGTGAGTCAAAGGTTATGTGCACTTAAATTTGTGATAAATATTGCTTTATTGTTCCCACCTTCCACTCTTATAAAATGGTTGTGATGTGATTATATTTTGAAGGGTGTTTTGCTAATTGAAAAACATATGTAACTATTACCTTATGCTATTTGCAAACTATTGCATACTTTCACAATTGAAATTGAAAATTATTACTCCCATTGTTATCTTTGAATCTCTGCTATCCTGAAGACCTTCAAAGTCATTTGTTCAAAAGCAGTATAAAACAATGATTTTCTACCCTGAATTACCAGTTGAATTACTTGGAGAGCTAAAAATGATCAGATTTCTAGGTTCTAACCTGGAACTACTAAAACAGAATCTCCAAAAGTGGGACCCAGGAAGCATTTTTAATAAGCATCGAGGACAATGCTAACAGGAATATAACATAAACCACAAATGTGAGTTGTGTATGTACTTTTATTATTTTTTTAATTATATATATATATATATATATTTGTTTTTGTTTTGGGGGGAGGAGGTAATTAGTTTCTTCGTGTATTTTTAAATTAATTTTTTACTTTATTTTTTAGTGGAGGTACTGGGGATTGAACCCAGGACCTTGTGCATACTAAGCATGAACTCTGTCGCTGAGCTATACCCTCCCTTGCATATGTAATTTTATATATGCTAGTAGCCGCGTTTAAAAAATAGTAAAAAGAAACAGATGAAATTAATTCCAGTACGTTTTATCTAACCCAGTATAGCCAAAATATTTTCATTTCAACATATGATCAGCATAAGTTATGTACTCAGTCCTTGAAATCCATTGTGAATTTTACACTCACAGCACATCTCGATTTGACTGCTCACACTTCAAGTGCTCCATTACCACATGGCTAGTGGCTGTTGTCTTGGACATCTCAGATCTAGGGTGATTCATTTGCATATAGAGATTTGAGAACCACTGTGTCAACACCACACCTCATACCTGTTAGAATGGCTATTATCAAAAAGACAAGAGATGACAAATGCTAGTGAAGATGTGGAGAAAAGGGAACTTTTGTACACTTTTGGTGGGAAGGTAACTTGGTGCAGCCACTATGGAAAACATTATGGAGTTTCCTTAAAAAATTAAAAATAGAACTACCATATGATCCATAAGTTCACTTCTAAATATTTATCTGAAGAAAGTGAAAATGATAACTCAAAAAGGTATGTTGCACCCCCATGTTCATAGCAGCATTGTTTACAGTAACTAAGATATGGAAGCATCCTCTGTCCATCAATGAATGAATAGATAAAGAAAATGTGGTATATATACACGATGGAATACTATACAGCCACAACAAAGAATGAAATCTTATTGTTTGTGACAATCTGAATGGACCTTGAAGGCATTATGCTAAGTATGCTAAATGAAATACATCAAAAGAAGACCAGTATTGTATGATCTCACTTATATGTGGAATCTAAAAAAAAGAAGAAGAAGAAGAAAAGAGAAAAAAACTCAAGCTCATAGACACAGAACAGATTGGTGCTTGCCAGGAGTGGGGGATGGAGGGTGGGTGGAAAGAGTGAAGGGGGTCAAAAGATAAAAATTTCCAGTTATAAATAAGTCATGGGATGTCATATACAGTATAGTGATTATAGTTAATAATACTGTATTGCATATTTGAAAGTTGCTAAGAGTAAATCTTAAAAAGTTTGCATCACAAGAAAAATTCTGTAACTATGTAAGGTGATGGATATTAACTAAACTCATTGTGGTGGTCATTTTGCAATTTGTACAAGTGTCGAATTTTTATGTTGTACAGCTGAAATTAACATAATGTTGTATGTAAATTATACCTCAATAAATTTTTGTTTTAAATACGAGAATTGAAGTGTCTTACCTCTTAGTATAGTGTTCTTTTTTCCCAGTGTCTGAAACTGAATGGGTCAGTTAACTGTAGGTTTGATTGCAGGACAGACAACTGTGAAATGAAGAAAATCTTGTGATTACTTCATAAAATAGTAGAGTGTTAAGGAATGAAATAGTAGGGGGTGAAATCACATATATGTAGAAAAGTCAAGGAGGCAGTTTGATACATGAGTCTGAAGTTCAGAGGAGAGGTTAGGGGTTGAGTGTCACTGGTACGAGTAAGGTATTTAAAGCATAACACTGAGTCAGATCATCAGAGAAAAAGTATAAATAAAAAAGAAAACTCAGGACAGAGTCTTAGAGCAATGCAAACTTTAGAGTTCTAGTAGAGAAGAAAGTGCCAGCAAAGGAAACGCCTTGGGGAGAAAGCTGGAGAGTGTGATATCTCAGAAAGAAAGTGAAGAGTTTTGGAGGGAGATAGGTCAATTAGCATGAATGCTTCTGAAAGGTGAAGTAAGATAACAGAAATGACCATTGGGCTTGGCAACATGAAGATCACAGTAAACACAGTCTCAGGTGGAATAGTGATGATGGAAGCAGAGTTGAAGAGGACTGAGGAGTAAGGGTGGGGAGAAGGCAGAACTAGGTCTGTAGCTGAAGAGGGTTGTAAGGTCAAGGGACTGTTTTTTAAATGGGAAATACAAGACCGTCCTTGTATGCTCACGGGATTGATTTAGTAGAGGGTGGAGATTTATGACGCTGGGAAAAGAGGCAAAAAGTTACAGGAGCAAAATCCTCAAGAAGGCAAGAGGAGATGATTTCCAGAATACAAATGGAGGTCTTTGTAGTCTTTGATTGTTAAAACGAGATAAGGCAGGTGATGGGAAAGGCAGTCCTGCATAGCCTGTTGACCCTTGCATAACTGTAACAGCGTGCCTTGGTCCTGGAATATTTTCTTACATGGAAATAAGGCGTCTTCACAGCCTGTGCTGGGCAGGGTTTGTACATTCCTTGTTCTGCTTTAAGCATGTGCATCATATGACACCTGGCCAACCCCACTGGTATATATATACATTCCTGGCAGGAAGAGAAGAGGGTTCTTCACCACTGCAGGAGGGGATCAGGTAGACCATCTTCCTGCACCTGCTGTGGGGCAAGATGCACTGGTCCTGGGGGAGCACTCACCATTGAGGCTGATCTTGCTGTCTCTTCTCTGCGTGAGTGAAGTGTTGTTCCCTCCAGTGTCTGTGTGAGTTGTGTCTTTCTTGGCAACTGTGTAATGAGTTGACATCCTGGTACTGCTGCTCCTGGTGGTAGGCAAAAGGTGTCACTTGCTTGACAGTTTGGTGCAGTGAGCAAGGTCACCAACAGGTACACCATGGCACATGGTTCATCAGTCCAGCCATCCCAGGGTGGTGCCAACTCCCTGGGGGATGACCTCCATC